CAGGGGGGGGGGGGGGGGGGGGCGAGGGATACGCACGCGATTCTTGCGTGCCAGCTGGCGACGCGCGCGCTGGAGCTTGGCCCACTCGGCCGCATGTTGCTCCTCCACCGCGAGAGCCATCTCGTCGTGCGCCTCGGCGTCATTACTGCAAGAGAGGGGGGGGTTAGGGAGGAAAGAAAAAGAGGCGCCGATGTGAGGGATGCGGGGGATCCGAGAAGAAGACCGGTCAAACCGGACACAGGGCGCAACTTGGGCACACGCACATGGCCGCCTCCAGCTCCAGGTTCTCCTGCTTGATGTCATTCAGCTGCTTGATGCAGTCCTCCCGCAGGCGAGCCTCATTGCCCTCCAGGGCATCCACCTGCGAAAGGAGATCCTCCAGCCGGGCCAGCAGCGGGGCATTCTCTTCGGTCACAAGGCCGTCCAGCTTCTTGGTCTCGCGAATCAAGCGCGCCCCATAACGCTGGGCCCGGGTGGCCTGGGCTCCCTGGGCCTCGAAGACTTCGGCCACGGCGGCCGCCTCCTGGCCGGTTTGGCCGGCCCGTGCCTCGGCATTGGCAATCTGCCGCTCCAGGTGCCCCTTCTCACGGCGGAAGGCCTGCACGCCGCTGGAGGACAGCTGCTGCTCCAGGGCCATGGCCAGGGCCTCATGCGCGCGCGAGTAGTCCGCCGACAGGGCACTGATCTTGGCCGCGTCGCCGGACATCAGAATGTCCTTGATGAGTGCGGCATCCGTCCCGGCAGACAGGGCATCCCCATCCAGCTGGTGCATCTGCTCCATGAGCGCCTCCACGCGGCGGCGCTGCTCCTCCTGCCGTGTGCGCCGGGAGGGGCAGGAAGGGAGGAGAGCAAAGGGGAGGGGAGGGGGAGGGAGAAGAAAAGGAGGTCAACATGAAAGTCAGGAAGGAGGCCGGATGCAGCCAAATGCGCCAAGGCACGCCCCTGCAGACAGGGGACAGAGGGGGGGGGGGGGAGGCGCGCCAAAGGAGGAAGGATTGTAAGCATACCTGCTCGGCGGCGGTGGCCTCCTCCTTAGAGACATCGGCCCGCGTGCCACGAGCATCCTGCCCGGGGGTCAGCCCGGCCAGGCCACCGAAGAGCATCAGCTGCCGGTGCCCGAACTCCAGCAGGGTCATGTTCACCTGCTGGTGCAGGGCCGCCGTGTCCAGGACCGTGCTCTCGGCCCCGGCGGCAACAGGACGCCGCCGGGCGCCCGGGCGCTCGGCACCCAGCTTGCTCGGCGGGGCCCGGTACAGGCGCCGCTGGCCGGCGCTTTCGGCCACCTGGCGCTCACGGCGCTCGCGACGAGCGGCCGCCTCCTCCAGCACGGCCTGGGCCCGGGCCAAAGCTGTGGCCGGGTCAATATGGTCGTCGCTGGCGCTGACCAGCGGGAACTCCAGCGTGTCGGGCAGGGTCAGATGCTTGTCGAAGGTGTATGTGGACAGGGCGCGCGCCGAGTCACCGAGCTCCGCCCGCGCGGCGATCACCCGCTTCACGAGCCACTGAATGACCGGGAAGATGTAGATGAAATTCAGACCCTGGATCTGATGCGGCTCCAGCGGGTGCGGGCACTTGAGGCGCTGCAGGGCACGCGTGATCTTCTCGGAGATGTTGCTTTGGGAACGGGACAGGGAGGCCAAAACCGGGGGAGCGCATCAGGCACTGGTCGGGAAAAGGGCGGAGGCAACCATTGGAAGGGGGCGGGGGGGG